GGGGAATCCTATACAGAGTCCCTATAAATCAGAACCAACTTGATGACACTTAACAACAAAATTAAATTTAGGCGATTTGGTGGTGTGGTGGGTTAATCGTTGGGCTGTTTTCTGAAATGTCAGTAGTTTGAACCCAGTAGAGAGATAAGGCAGTCTGCCTGCTTAAAAACCCACAGCCTCGGAAACTGTACAGAGCAGTTCTGCTCTGTGTCAGGATTGCTACGTGTCTGAATAGATTGGGCAGCTGTGGGGCATATACATTTACTTTGCAATTTCATGTTTTAAATCACGCACGTTTTATAAAATGAAGTAATTTTAAGTGCCTCCATGAAAAATAAATAGAAGGGAATAAATACACTTTGTACCAAACAATTTTGCTTAAATGCTGTAGACATCTCAGTCTCCAGATTTCTAAAACCAGCCCAACTCCCTAATTGTTAGGGTTTAGATGCCTAAGGTCTCATCCTGAAAAGGATCATTCACATCCACCTAGCTGGCTGGGTACTTCTTACCTCCTCACCTGTTCTTCCAGGCCCAGGCACCACCCAATGTATGAGCCACCTCCTCCTACTGAGTCCAAGCAAATGTGCACTGAGGGACTCCTAGAAGAGCCGAGGAACACTTAGGAAATGACCTTCAGTAGGGAGTAGTTTCCAGTATGCTGATTATAAATGATCACCCTCTGAACACTTAGGAAATGACCTTCAGTAGGGAATAGTTTCCAGTATGCTGATTATAAATGATCACCCTCTGAGTCCTGATGGAGACCTAGAAAATTTATCTTCTTTAATGGCCAAGAGGAGTTTTTTTTTTAAAAGGCATTCTAGCCTGTGGTTGGTGTTTTATTTTTTACTATCAAATATCATAGCTGAAACTCAGATGCTGCTGAGAGGACAATGGGCAGCCTGCCAAACATTAACTCATCTTGTACATGTTAAAAACAAGAAAACTAATTGCTGTCAGAGTCAATTATGACTCGTAACAATCCTGTATGTGCTGAGTAGAACGGCTCCATAGGGGTTTTCAGACTGTGACGTTTCAGAAACAGATTGCCAGGCCTATCTTCCTAGGCACCTCTGGGTGGATTCGAATCTCTAACCATTGGGTTAGTAGTCTAGCATTTAACTATTTGCACCACCCAGAGACTTCTTTATACACAATGCAAGGTATGAATTAAAAGATAACGAATAGAAGTGGTGGTGTGCCGTGGAGTCGGTTCCGAATCATAGTGACCCTGTATAGGTTTTCCGAGGCTATAAATCGTTACGGGAGCAGAAAGCCTCGTCTTTCTCTCATGGAACCAGTTTCAAACCACTGACCTTGAGGTTAGCAACCCAGGTCATAACTACTATACTACTAGAGCTAGGAGTAGGTTGTTCAAAGTGAACAAGTACAAAGAAGGAAAAAGGATGAGCTCTACTTTAAAAAATGCAGAAGTATATTCAGACTGCCTCCTAGAAACAAAATACAATGTTGTATAAATATAACATTTCCCAAGAATTGAAGACAGATCAATTTAAAGCATGCATCCACTCCAAATCCCTATCCCCACTCCTAATCTGAAAGGCTAATACTGAAGCATGATCATTTAGGGATTAGAGCTTGACAGTTTGGGCCTCATAAGTATTATTCAAGTCTTGTCAACTTTAAACCTAGAAGGATTCTTCCCTTGTGATTCAGGGAATCAGTCCCTTTACCACCTGTTTTCAGACTACCCTTGTCCTCCCTTCCAGATGAAATCTATCCTTAATAAAAGTCAGAAGCAGGCCTCATATACCTTGAGCATATTTGTTGTTGTTAACTGCCATCAAGTCAGTTGCAACACATAACAACCCTGTATAGGGTTTCCGAGGAGCAACTGGTGGGTTTGAACTGCCAACCTTTTGGTTTGCTGTCCAGTGCGGATCTACAGCACCACACCAGAAGTCCTTGAGAATATTGGGAATCTCATAATTTCCCAAGGTTTTAGAAAAAGCAGGCAGTATCCCAGTTAGGATACTTACTCAGGAGTGAGGATGTTTCATGATTAAAGACCCAGCAACATAGACTCTTGTGGAAGACAAGATGATGACTATAATCCTTCCCAGTTCTTTGCCCAATTCTCCCTCCCTTGACACCTATCTCCCTTTCCCCATGGAAATCTCTTTGGGTCCACACAGAAAATTTTTAATTAAAGTAAATGCTGTGTATTAGATAATTTTGAAGATTAGGACTTGAATGAAATAAATTGGGTCTGGGTTGTAATTTCAACTAGAGACTTTTCCTTTGTTCTTAAGAAAGATCAGCAGTGAGATAGATCCCTGGGCTAGATTCTGATCCCAGTATTGGTTATACTTAAAATAAATTTTTTTCTCCCTCAGCCTGAGCATTTTATTAGCTGATAGTTTACTTTTAGCTTTTCAAGAAGGGATTACCTCAAGGCCTCAGAGTGTCTTTGCAACCAAGGTCAGATGGTCCCATTTAGCTGAGAGAGAGACCTGGAATGAAAGGAGAAAGCACTTAGTTGGCTACTGTCTCAGCACTAAGAAGCATAAGCTGTAACAAGGCACCCTGGAGTGTGAACTCTACCACAGAGTGATCCCACCCAGAAGTAAAGGGGCTGGGCTGTAAAACTTCACATTGATCAGTCATTGGCTACAGGCTACCATGGTCAAGTTCACATCGGCCAAGGATAATCCTCCTGAGAAGGATGAAGTTGTGAGCCCTTTGTATTCAACATCTGCAGTATCAGGGACTGGTGCACTTGCCTCAGTAAAGGGGATCGAAATAGGGCATCAACTACAACTGTTTCTGTAAGCAAAAGTTTGGAAATCAGCAGCCAGTGCAATGATATGTTAGTGAAGGAGCACTTTATATTATATGGATTTTCTCTAGTTTATATTATACATACCTCAAGACATGTCACAATAAGGGCATAATATTTGATTCAATTCAGTTCTTTTATTTTATAGAAGAGAAAATGTAGGTCAGAGTCATCTAATACTGGGAACCAACTCTGGTTCCCAGTTCTCTGATTTCCCTTGAATTCTACCCAACTCATTTTTCTTGAATATTTATTATATGTATAAAGTACAGTTTTAGTCATTTGAATAGGGAGTTGAAAGGTATAAACTTTAGCATCTCCCTCAGGCCTTTAGGACCTTACAATCTGGTAAAAGATAAGGAAATGAAGAAAGAAATACAACATATAAATAGTATGCAAATCAACATATCTTTCCACATGAAAATATGGATTAAAGTACCAAGGGCATTTAAAGACAAAGTGAACACTAAAAAGGACAGTTTGTCTCAAGGCAACAGGAGGTCTTTAGCCCAAATATTCCTATATTTAAAACTATAAATAAAGAATTCAGAAAACCTATTTCAGCAAGACTAAATAAGATAAATTATGCAAATAGGATTGTAAGAAAGAAGCAAACATTCACACAAGGATAAGCTATTTAATTTGGAAATCTTCTTCAATTTTTAGTCCTCAAAGGGCAGATTATTAAAAGTTTTACTTATTCAACAAGATTATTTTAAAACAAATGATCAAAGCTGTTACTTATATTAGAATTAAGGACTGAATCCAACCCCCTCTTCTCTTTCTTGCTCACACATATTTTGGTGCTTGAGAGTTTTCTGTCTTTTATACTGTCCTGTGCTACATTAACCCATATATTTATTGTCCACCTACTCAGTTATGTGTATTTTAATATTCTTACAGAATCTGAACACCATTGAAGAGTCACTCATTGACTTTTCATTCATACATTCAACAATGAATAACAAGTGGCCTTGTTAGAAGTGCTGGGAATACAGAAATGCAAAAGGGACTCTGCTTGTATCCTCATGTACTCCGTGTATTTAGATGAGATTACAAAAAAAAAGGAAATTATATTTTTAAATGATAAGTGCAAAACTAGTGTTTTCCCATCCCTAAACATTGAATCATGAATGACTCTGGGAAAATTCAAGAGAGTTTCTATGGAGCTCTAGCCTCTGAGTTAAGACCTAAGGCCCTAATGAAGGGTTACGTCATTCTCCATTTCTTTCTTTATAATAGATATCATTGAAGGAAAATGATCTTTTAAACATTTTATTTATTGATGTTACAATTAATTTGTTCCCTCTGTCATTTCACTAAAATAGTGTTCTTTAAGATTCTTCTATCCTAATGAGCCATTTCCATCCTAAGGAGCCACAGTTGCATAGTGGGTTGTGCATTAAACTGCTAACCATAAAGTCAACAGTTCAAATATACCAGCTGCTCTGCAGGGAAAAGAGCAGGCTTTCAACTCCCAACAAGATTTACAGCCTCAGAAACCCTACACAGTGTAGCTATGAGTCAGAATCAACTCAGTGGCAGTGGGCTTGGTTTATTTGTGTTAATGCCTTTGGAGATGCTTTTTGACTTAATTGCCCTCTCTCAGTGAAGTTTTCATACCACATATTAAATCTGTTTCTGTTGTGTGGCCATGTGTTGTTGTTAAGTGCCATTGAGTTGGTTCCAACCCATAGCGACACTGTATAGGGTTTCTGAGGAGTGGCTGGTGAGCTTGAACTGCCGACCTTGTGGTTCAAACCAACTTTGCAGTCCAACGCATTAACCCACAGCACAACACCAGGACTCCATGTGGCCACGTGGATGGCCAGAAATATTCTGATATCTAAAAGCTGTTTATGCTTCACCCAAACCAATGTTTGCTCTCCTGGGGACGGATCATTCCCATTAACAATGTATGCATTAACACATAAGCTCGGCACCCTTGTCCATCGTCTATCCTCTGTCCTCACCTGTTAGTACACTACCTAGTACATATAAGCACTCATTTATTGAATACTGCCTAAGCTCTTTCCATAACATCTTCCTTCTCTTTTTAGTTGACCGTTATTAAAAATTGCTCTTGGAGTCACCATAGATGTATTTTACACTCAGTACCTCATACCTCCCTACCTGCCATTTCACCTTGAGCACACACCATTCTCAATGGTACTATGTTTGTTTGCTTTCTTAACAGAAGTAAAAGATTACGAGCCTCCATTTGGTTCCAAGGTGCGGGAGCATCCCTGTGTTGAAAGCATGAAGGACAATGTGTTGCGAGATCGAGGACGGCCAGAAATTCCCAACTCCTGGCTCAACCACCAGGTATGGAGTGACTGCTTTGTCAAAAAATAAAATCCATCTGAAACAGTCTTTTAGATAGCGCAGGCTTCTAGGACATCAGCTTAACTGTGAGGGCAGGTTCCTATATATTTTGTGGCCTTATTAAATTTTGTTTTAAAAAAGAATGTTAATAAACTTGGATGACCCTGATAAAATTTACAACCAACAGGTATATACAATATTCAAAGAGGGTTATAGAGCATCCATTGAAAAGCATTTGTCATGTCTTCCAAGCCACCTTGGTACTGGTTTGACGTAGTTATATGCAGTCTGTGCAATTGACCCACCTGCTTTTACATCAAGAATTTATGTTTCATTCCCTTTTGGACTCCAAGTGCCTAATTCTGGGAATCTCCAGCCCTGGAAGGAAATACTTAGCAGATTGGGAAATAAGCAGGGTTTGTCATGCAGCTGGGCTGATAGTGTCTGCAGGATGCACAGACCACTAGAGGGATAGGTAGGTCTTGTCCACAAACTGGAGAAGTCTGTATTAGCACGCATGGGAAAGAGACGTCAGCTCACTGCTTTGGAATAAGGGAAAGCAAAGGGCAAGTGGGAAATGCAAGCGAGCAATTTGGAAACCTGTCCATTGAGAACAATTAAGAACACTTTGAACATTTATTCTTCATTGCCATTGAGTTGACTGCAGCACATGGTGAATAGAAAGAAAACTCGCCTGGTACTGTGTCTTCATTATGATTCTTGGTATTCTTGAGTCCACTGTTTATTTTGGGTGACTTCCAGCCTAGGGATTCATGTTTCAGCATTCTATCAGACAACATTCTGTTGTGTTCCGTAAGGTTTTCATTGGCTAATTTGGGGAAGTAGATCACCAGCCCATTCTTTGAAGTCTTGTCTGGAAGCCCCCTAAAACCTGTCCACCATGGGTAATCCTGATGGTATTTGAAACATCGGTGGCATAGTTTCGAGCATCATAGTGACATACAAATCATCTCAGTATGCCAAACTGATAGAAAGATGGTGGGGAACTGTCGAATGGCTTCTTTTTTCTTCTTTTCAGGAAATGATAGCCAAGGTGTCCATAGCAGGGCAGTAGTTCAGGACTTGCAGGGTGGCCTACAAAATTCTTTATTTTAGGAGCATTTTGATGACTGTGCTGGTTAGAGATAAAGGAGAAAACTGTAGTCTGGAAGTATATGCATGTATGTCTGTCACACCCAGCAGAGAGCCATCCAAATGTGCCCCCTTTCTTACTGACAGAATTTTTTATTTCCTCTTTTGGATGAATTCTCTCATACAGTTAAGGCTGGGACTAAGTCATAGGACAGAGAAACTTCAGATAAGAAACAGAAACAACAGATCAGGCATGATTGGAAAGACAGATGGAGCAGGAAGCCTGGATTTTAGCCAATCATGTCTGAGAATCACCACAGTGGACAGATCCAAGTACAGTCAGGGGAGAGCGTGAACCAGGCGGCAGGGGTCAGGGGCTTCCCCAGGGTGTTGGGCAAAGCCCCTTTGAATCTGAGAATATTAGGCTGTTTTGCATTAACTGAAATCAGAAGCTGCTAGTGTTATGTTTCTCACTGACTCTGTTGCCTCCTCTGCTGTACAGTTCTTGTAATGAAGTCATTATTCATGATGATAAAATTCTGGAAAGAATTTACATAATACATTTTTTCTCTTAATGAGATTTGTTGCCCTATTGATTTCAAGTTAATGCTTAATATTTAATTTAATTTACTGCCTGTAATTACAGTGCCAGAATAAAATAAATGTTACTTGTGTTCCAACAATAACACTCCTCTCTTAACAGGGCCATCAATCAATACCGTCAATTAGGTGAATTATACAATTAATTCAACATCCTGAACTCAAGGGGTGGGGAGGAAGAGACAGGCTTAGGCATGTCGGGAAATTTAATGGCATTAGTTGGCAAATAGGGGAAGTACCAGTTTTGCAAGATGGTGTGGAATTTATCTGCCCCACTTGGGCTGCCCAGTATGAAGGATCACCTTGTTGGTCCTCTAATTGGCAGAAGCACACTCTCATTCTGTCAGTTGATCTCTTGATTTAACCCGACTCCCAAAAAGGACTTGAAATGGCTAACAAACATTGTAAATGAAAAATTAAGGCGCAAAGGGAGGACTTTTGTCCCCCTTATTGAATGGGACCTTTATGGCAACCCTGTGTGTTCCAGAGAAGAACAGCTCCATAGGGTTTTCTTGATCATAATCTTTATGCGTACAGATCACCAGACCTTTCCACTGCAACACCACTGGCTGGCTTTGTACTGCACATTTTAAAGTTAGCAGCCAATCGTAGACTGCTTGTGACATGCTAGACTGAACCCTATGATACTGCCTAGAATCAAACACGTCTAACCTGTGAAGCTCATCCTGATGTTGGACAGTAATGGGGCATAGCCAAGATCCTCTTGGGCAGCCATGGAAACTTCTACTGAATTACTCCCCAGAAGATGTGTAAACTTTATAAAATGATACCAGGTTAATACCCATACACCACTCTGACTGGAGTATTCATCCCTGTTAAAATAGAAAGATGTGAAGATGATATTAGGGGCTACCGAATGGGAACTGTTCCGGTATTGGGGATGTTGCTATGCCCTAGAAACGTAATGAGAGGCCCTGGACTCTTTCTCTATTTCACCATCCGATGGCACTAGAGCACACAGGCACAGTAGGTCTCCATGGCAGCACAACGCTGCTTCCCACGTATATCAGGCTGACTCCCCCTTCCCCCCCCACACACACACACACCCCTAGTGGGCATTCAGTAGGTTTGTTACTGTGCAAGTTCTCTCACACCTGGCCTATATGGCAGGAACAAGGTCCAGCAAGCCAACAGCCTCCTATGGAGCCTTCTAATTCACGCTGCCCTTTGGGCTTCTTTCCCATTGCAGGGTATCCAGATGGTATGTGAGACCCTGACCGAGTGCTGGGACCATGACCCTGAGGCCCGTCTCACGGCGCAGTGCGTGGCAGAGCGCTTCAGTGAGCTGGAGCACCTGGACAGACTCTCGGGGAGGAGCTGCTCTGAGGAGAAGATTCCCGAAGACGGCACCCTGAACACTACCAAATAGTTTGCCCTGGTCAGGCTCTACCAAGTCCAAAGAGGGCACTTCTTTCACCAAAGAACAGAGGCATCAGGAAGCTGCCCCTGGACTGATGCTTCCTGGAAAACCAAGGGGTCACCTCCATCCCTGTAAGCTGTGGGGATGTCTGAAGCAACTACAGCAGGGAGTGGGTGACATAAATCGTTCTATGCCTTTGACGTTGTCATAGGATAAGCTGTATTAGCACTGCCTCAGGAAATGAGATCGATTTTTGCAATGTCCAATAACATTTGCACTTTATTAATGCCTGTATATAAATATGGAATAGCTATGTTTTATATATATATACATATATATATGTGTGTGTATATATATATATATGTTTATATCTATCTATACAGCCATACTCTGAAAGGAGACAAGGAAAAAGATAAAGTATTCCCAGGAAATTGGTTTTATTGGAAAACTCCAAAACTGAGCAGAGACGGAAACGGCCTATGATAGCATTAGCACTTGACAATCCCATATGTGATGGCTCTCTGATGCTATGGGGGAGGGGGCTGTGCATTAGAGAGAGTGGCTCCCAGTCTCACAGCATGCTCTTGCCATGTTGCACTCGTTTTTGCAAAATCCTAATTCCCCACAAGTGGGTTCTCTTCTAGCCATGGAGTGAGATACTGTTGCACTGTCTGGGGACTAGTGTTCTTGGGGCTCCTGTGTGCAGTTGTTTCTCATGAACTTTCACTTGAGTTTCACAACTGGTGTGTGAACCAATCTAGCTCCCTCAATCTAGCTCAGAAACTCTGCCATAAACTATCTCTAATAGTTTAAACATTTTGAGGCCCACATTTTACCTTCACAGGCTGAGAAAAATTAGAAGTATAAATTCCCCAGTCCATGAAATTAGAAGGCAGTCTTCTATTTGCCTTACCTTCTACTAATGAGAAATTGTTCTCTGTTTTTCCATTTCCCCAGTACCTATATAACTCTTCTCCATTCCCCTCCCTTCACTCTTTCTTTAAAGGAGACAAATTCCCTCTCTGAGATTCATTCGCCATGTTTCATTTTCAGCACACTTGGTTCTAGTCTCTAGCTTTCTGGGCAAAGATGAGTAGGCTCCTGAACACTTACTTGAGCCTAGTGGAAAGGATTGGAGTGACACAACACTGCCACATTCAGGACAATTTCTCTAGGCACTTTGAACATATGTTTTATTTGGCCAGAATAGCACTTAAGAAAAAAATTAAGCCACTATTTAGAAGTTGCAGACTTTGCAAAAAAACAAGACCAAAAAATCCATAAGGGAAGCAGATGGCAAAACAAAACAAAATCCAGTTTTTTCTAGGCCAGCGCAGGTGTGTGTATACACTTAAAACAGCTTTACTGCTCTCTGTAAGTATTTGCCACTGCCACGATCGGGCAGTGTTTTGTTCTGCTGTGCATAGGGTCACTATGAGTCAGTACCGACTCGATGGCACCTAACAACAACAACAACTTTCATCCTGGAGTCCTGGTGTGGTGCTGTGGGCTAATGCGTCAGACTACAAAGTCATTTGAACTGGAAGGTTGGTGGTTCAGGCTCACCAGCTGCTCCTTGGAAACCCTATACAAGGTCACTATGGGTCGGAACTGATTCAACAGCACTTAACAACAACGACTTTCATCCTGGCATCCTGGTATGGCATTGCGGGTTAATGCGCTGGACTGCAGAGTCAGTTTGAAGCACAAGGTTGGCAGTTCAGGCTCACCAGCCGCTCTTCAGAAACCCTATACAGGGTCGCTATGGGTGGAACCAACTCGACGGCACACAACAATAACAAAATTCATCCCAGTCTGGCAATTAACCTGACCCTCCTGGTGTGGCGCTGTGGGTTAATGCGCTGGACTACAAGGTCGGTGTGAATCACAAGGGTGGCAGTTTCCACTCCTCAGACTCCTATACAGGGTCGTTATGGGTCAGAACCAACTCGATAGCACTTAACAATGACAACCAAGGTTCTAGTGTAGCACTATAGGATAAGCACTGTACTGCTAAATACAAGGTCGGTGGTTCAAAACCACCAGCCATTCCTTGGTAATGTATACAGAGCTGCTATGAGTTGGAACTGACTCAGTGGCACTTAACAACAATAGCAACCTAACAACAAAAACAATCAAGGCCACTTTTAAGAAATGTGCATTCAAGCAGTCTTTGGGTATGTAAGATGATGTTGATTCCCTTCCTCTTACTGGATCTAAATTTAATATTTGAAGTTGGCCTGTTAGTGGACTAAAGAGGTCCTACTCTGTGTGACCCTGATGAACCCCAAGTCTCTTTTGTTCATATGCTAAGAATTTTTAAATTGATCTTTACTCCAAGAAACTTTTGTCATTGTTACCAGTCTGTCCATGATGGTAGTCTTCCCATCTTTTGCAGAATTTGCTAGCCAGGACTTGAAAGTGAGAGACAAGAGCCCAATTTGCAGTTTAAGTAATTGTTCCCATGGACAAGAAGAATGAGCTTAAATACTTCATAGGATACTTGTTAATCCATAAACAAGTATTAATGTTGCAAGTAACAATCTCTTTTAAGAATGTTTTTGAGCTACTTCTTTTCAGTAAAATAGGAATATGAGAGAGGGCTTGACAGTGCGTAAATCAGCACAGCTATTTAGATTTTTGGAAGTCCTCATCTCATTAGGGTTGTAGGAGACACCCTGAAGTTTGACATTAAGTGTGACTATCTAGTGCCCTGTTCAGTCAGGCTAGCCTGAAAGAAGTAAAGGCAGTTGGGCTGCAATACCATGGAAGCACTGGGAAAATCTGTGTGCACCATAGGGCTTGCTGATGCTGTCCCAATAGCTGTTGCTCATTGACCTCTAGTGGTGAGTTTCTAGAATAGTTGTCCATTGATGGGCTCTACGAGATTCTCTATTGCTTCCAAGTCATCATTAGCATAAACTGGAATGTAATGTCAGATGATACTGTGGCCTGCTTTATTATTTTTATTCATTTCTTATTCAAGATAAAAGACCAAGGAATAACATTCTGTAGTTCCTAAAAATACTGACTTTTTTTTTTAACTACTACACATAAAGGCAAAGTTTTATTCTTTTATAAAAACACTTCATGTATTAAAATAGGAATGTGAATGCGGTATACTCTTTTTATTGTCTCAAGCACTTATTTTCATTCTATGCAGTGTTTGTCTTTTATATAAATAAAATGTTTATTAGATTGAATAAAGCAAACATACTCAGGTCAGTTCTTTGGCTCGTGTCTGTATTCATGGTACCTAAGCCCATATGTCTCACTGGGTTATTTAGCAATTTATGCAGAAAGAATCACAAGACAAATCCTCTCAGACTTATCAATGTTTAGTTCTTCTTTAACTGAAAAGTCTCAAGTCTCTTTTAAAAACAAACAGTCAAGCACTAACAGAGGTGCAAGAATATGAGCTGAAGCAGATGCTGTAGGTGGTCTAACCTTTATCCCTACGTCCCTGGTGTGCAGTCTCTCTGAATAACCATATGGCTTCCATCTTGGCCTCTCCCCATGGTCACAGGGGCTGCCTCTGTCTCCATGATTGCTTCTTCCAGGAATTGTCACAGTCAAGACTACTAATAGCTTATACTGTTATTTTTAGTCACTGTCAAGTTGGCCTCTGACCCCATTCTCCATGGACCAAAATGAAGTCTAATCCTCTATCTAATCAGTTTTTGATTCAGACTACTGTGGTTCATAGGCCTCTCATTGACTGATTTTCACAAGTAGAGTGTTAGGCCTTCCTCCCCAGTCCATCTTAATCTGGAAGCTTCTCTGACACCTGTCCAGCATCATGCCAACACACAAGTCTCACTAACAATCAGGTGGTGGTTGGACATGGGGTGCATTTTCCAAGGAACGTAACCCAGATTTCCCACATGGAAGGCAAGAATTCTACCAGTGTACCATCACCACCCCTTATACCTGCCTTTGATCCCTCGCCCTAAGAGATTATGAGCTGTCTTTTTGATTCTTGTTATGTGTCATGCTTCTTCACTATTCATTTCCACTCCAGCCACCCCATCCCATTTGGTGCTTTAAATCACCCTATCTGTGTTGCCAGATGAATGTGCCTTAGGAAGTTGTTTCCAGATCATTGCTTAAAGGGCTCCTTTGACAAAGTATATTATGAAATTCTCTGCCTAAACCTTGAGCTATTTTGGGATCTCAGAGATTTTTGTGGCTTTTTTTGAGTTATCAGCTGAGTTCTATGTAGTTACCATCCTCTTGTAAGTGCCCGCATTAGGGTTTCTCAACACCAACACTATTGACATTTTGGGTCAGATTATTCTTTGTTGTGGACGACTGTTTTGTAAATTGCAGGATGTTTAGCATCATCCCTAGCCTCCTCTCTAGTTATTAGCAGAACCCAGCCCACAGCTATAGCAACGAAAAATGTCTCCAGACATCACTAAATATCCTTTGGGAGACAAAATTGACCCCACTTGAGAATCACTGAGTTGATGATGTGGACCTATAATACTGTGGGCATTTGTTATGACCCAACTTACCTGATAGCTTGACAATTTTAGAAGTTACTAATGATGTTGTCGCTAAGTGCTATTGAGTCAGTTCTGACTCATAGTGCCCTTGTATAGGGTTTTCAAGGAGTGGCTAGTAGATGTGAACTGCCAAGCTTGCAGTTAGCACTCCACTGCTTATTACAGTGTGCCACACCAGGCTACCTTACTAACAGCAATGGTTACCACTGGATAACCTGCGTGATCTCTGTGCCTCAGTTTATTCATATATATGAAAGGATTTTACAGGGATGGCACCTAACAATAACAACAATATATAAGATCCTAGGGTCCTGGTGTGGTGTTGTAGGAGAATGCACTGGATTGAAAGGTCTGTTTGAACTGCAAGGTTGGCAGTTCTAACTCACCAGCCATTCCTTGGAAACTATATACAGGGTCGCTATGAGTCAGAACCAACTTGACAGCATTTACCAACAATGTAAGATATCCCTGGGATACGGCATTCATACAAGGCTTTTGGAA